TGGCAGGGATTCAATAAAGGTGGACACGTTGTCCCAGAGGAAGTGTTGGTACGCTCTCATGGCTCCTGGATAATTAGCGACTCGCATGGTGAAGGCTGCAGAAGAGTAAAGCCATCTACCCATGGAGTCCATTCGTTGGCTGTGTTTATTTAGTGGTATGAGAGATTGTCGGTGTAGAGATCTCAACTGAGAGGCTTCGACAAGTATAGAATCTGGAGCTGGTTGTTTTTGGAGGAAAATGGCTCCTGGGTCATGGATTGTATAGAGGTTATCAATCCGCTTAGACATGGTATAGGAGGAAGCTGGTCTTGTCCCCAAAGGGGCCGTGAATAGGAGAAAAAAATTGAGGAGAAAAACCGACGACTGAAGAGAGAGGTGTGTGTGTGTGTGGGTGTGTGTGTGTGTGTGTGCGCGCGCGCGCTGCAGACAGAGGCTGAAGGAGGGGAAAGGAAAAATCTCTGATGATAATGAGTTTGATCTAATAGTTTAAAAGAAAAAAGATTGAGAACAGGAAGGAATCAAGAATAAGCTCTCTCTCTTTTACTCACAGAAGCAGATGAAGCTCTCAACGTGGCAGTTGAAAGAAACTGACAGGGGACGCTTGGTGCCAAGGTACTTTTACGGGTGGGGAGGGGCCTACTCTAATGTGTTTATTGCTACCGCAGAAGCTCTAGAATCTTCCGATGAGGCCCCGCGCAGGCGCGAATCACTGAGGCTGTGATTCACAGAGGCCACGAAGAAGAACCAAACTCCCAAACTCTAGCTCTCCAGCCAGATACCTAAACTACTGAGCTGTCCAACCAGCTAACTCCTGTTTTTTTTTTAAAGCACAACCTCAAAACATGGCAGGACCAAAGAGAGTGGAGTTGTTATATGTGGGGCTGAGAAAGGAGAAAGCACTCACGTTGAATTCCTCGCGGAAGAGTTTGTTGTCATCTGCCATCCGCCGATTAATCTCCTCCTCCAGTTTATCAACAGGCAGTGGTGGGTACTTTCTGTTGGTACTGGGAGATCTGGCAAGCAAAGGCATGCTCTGGGGCTCTGTATTACAAACACAGAAAAGAGGAACACGGTCTTTCTTTTGCTGCAGACACTGGGCAAAGACCCCTTTTTCCTTTGGTGTCCGTAAGCAGATTGTGTCACTTTCCCCCATATAAACAAATCACTCCAATAGGGAAAAGAAATAGTGTTGCAGTTTGGGACAACTCAGGGCATCACTCAGAGAAACAGCCTGTTGAGGACACGAATACACTCATTCTGTTTTTGCCTTGGTACAAAAGCCTTGTGATATCAGCCAGTACAAAGGGAGAAGATGCGCAAATGAAAGCCCTTTTTAACTAATTGTTCAGGGCCTTTGTCTCAAAGAGCAAAACAGTACTTTCCTCCAGAAAACAAAGCCACTTCCACCACTGACAGATAGCCAACAACTTTTGCTGAAAATCCCTACTACCTCCTAGTTCAACTGCACAGGTCAGTCACTGTCTGGCTGAGCCAAGGCATGATACAGACCAAAAACAGCAGCCTGTGGGAAGGAGGAGGTAGTATTTCATGGGAAAAAAATAGGGACTGCACTTCAACCCTAACCAACATGACAGGAGGTAGCTGCATGATAGGGTCATGGGGCAGGGATGTTAGGAATATGCAGGTTGGTGTGCAGGTGTTCCTTCAGTCTAAACATGGGTGCATCATTATAACACCCACGAGGCAGCTCTGCACCTTATTTATCCAAACACTGACAAAGAATGCTCCTTTCACACAGTTGCTTACATTATAGAAGACCAAGACTTACCCATGTCATCTGTCCGGCCATTGGACAAGTGAAAGGAGTTTGAATGACTCCCAGCTTGCTTGTATTTTTTGAATCTGCAAGGAGAAATACGCAGGAAATCAGCTGAAATACGCTTATGTCTGAAGTACCGTATTTTTCCATGTATAAGACGCCCCCATGTATAAGATGCTCCCCACTTTTCTAACCCCAGATTAAGAAATCTAAGTGGGGCTTAGCAAGTGTAGGGGGAATAGGATCAAAGCAATGCAGGATCGCTTTGATCCCTTTCCCCCTTATACACCCATGGGATTGCTTTGATCCTTTCCCCCTCCTTTTGATAAGCCCCATGGGACTTAGTAAGCAAAGGGGAAAGCAGGGATCAAAGCCATCCTGCAGTGTTTTGATCCCTGCTTTCCTTTTGCTAAGGCTTATCAAGTGGAAGGGAAAGCAGGGATCAAAGCCCTGCAGGATCACTTTGATCCCTGTTTTCCCCTCTACTTGTTTTTGTTCTCTCCTCAGCTTACTTCTGTGTATAAGATGACCCTCAATTTTTAGTCTAAAGATTTGAGACAAAAGTATAGTCTTATACATGGAAAAATATGGTATGTGATAGGCCACATGAAAGCCAAACCTGCCCCTAGAAAGTCTTTCTTCACACAAAACCCTTTCTTTGAGAACAGCAGCATTACACTTTGCTGTGCCCGGCACTGCAATAGTCCACACCAGTCTCTGCGTCATCAGGGAGTTTTCAACCAGTCATTTAAGTGTCTGATTAAAATAGCAACCTGAGAAGGAATCTGAAAAATTATTTATCTCTTCTCAAAAGACCCAAGAGGAGGGGACTCAAATGATAAACTTCAGAGGCTTGTTATGGTGATGAGAAAGTTAGAGAAGAATTGTCTCTGTGATTGTACAAAAACACCCATAATGTGGAACACCCTGTTTAGCATATTTTAAAAACCCTTTTAGAGTGGAAGAGGTTGGAAATACAGACTTCAAGTGGAATAAGAGAAGTTGATATTTGAAATGAAAGAAATGTCTTTTAAAAGAAGTGAGAAACAAAAGTTAAAGAAAACATAACTTCTATGTTTTTGAGTTGAAAAGAGTTAAGCAAGTGTTGATGTTGACAAGTATAATTTTTCAATAAACATTGGAATTATTTACTTCTATTCAGACCCCTGGATGTGAATATATAAACAGATCTGAACAAAGTAAGCAGCATGGCATCAGGTGGGAACCTACAAAATCACTTCTCCTACTGGTTTAATGGAAATATTAAACAGCAAGGACAGGACAGAACCTATAGGCCATTAATCAATTTTAAGGTTTTCAAATGATAGCTTAATTAAATTTATTTAAAATGTACATGTTCACACAACTCTATTCTACCTTGAAGATTAAACTGGTTGTTTTTCATGTAAGAGAAAAAAACAATCCACTACCTGTCAAATGTATCTCACCTTTTCTCTTGCTTGCCTTGACAGTTCTAGCCTTCTCTCTCTCTCTCTCTCTCTCTCTCTCTCACACTCACACACACACACACACACACACACACACACACACACACAAAACTTTTCACATGCAGGTTTATGCAGATGGTCTGAGACCTTTGTCACTAAAGAGATCAACACTATGTCTGAAACAGAAGTGTGAAAGTCTATTAAAAGCAAGCATATTATCCTAACACACAATTGCACTCAGAGGAATCACTTCCAATTTAACAAGCACAAGACTGTGTTTTAAGGAGCTCAGAATGTAGGATGCAAAGTTCTTCACCTCAGAACTTCACAGTAGCTATGATTTGTGTCTCTCCACCAATGGAAAACCAATTCAATCCCAACTCCCCACGCCCATTACTGCCCTGCTTGTTCAGCTGACAATGGGGTACTCAGCAAAAGTGCAACTGTGTTTGCCTCTTCAGATCCACTGGTGTGAAAATATGAGCATCAGGGCTTTCTTCATGTCCCATACCTCATGTCACTACCTCCAGGATGATAGCTAGAAGGTACTGATTTCAGTGTGTTGAGGCCAACTACCCCAACCACAATTTAGACTCAAGAATCAGGCAGCAACACCAGTTCAAGAAAGATAGTGGCTCAGTCCAGCCAGAGGCAGGAGGGAGGGAGAAGTAAGTGCAGAGTGCCTTAGTGGCATGGCTGATGTTGCTCTATTCAGTGTGTCCTCCTCTGCCAGTACTAGCAATGGGAACTTTCTGCTTCAATGTCATTCAACACAGAGACACTTACTCTCCTTAATCTCTTCCTCTTGCCCCCTCCACTGCCATCACCCAGCAGTCATGATTGGAAGCTCATGCCATTATGCAATCTAATGAGAGAAGACAGGAATCTGGCTTCTGCGACACTTAGGGGACAGTCGCTGCCCACTAACTGGAACAGAGGCTTCTTTGAGACTTGTGGGACATACCATGGGCCCAAACCAGAGTGGATTAAAAAAAACACCAATGGTTCTTTAAAAAACAAACTGATTTAAGTAATCATTTAAATCATCATTTACATTTTTTAAAGTGAGTTTTTGACAGTTAAATAGTAAAACAAATCTAACTATTTTTATTCAAATCATAATTTAAACCAAATCCATCCTGGTCCAAACCTTAAATTGATCCCTATATATTTCAATCAATCAATTGGTTAATGATGCCTCCTGAAAAGAACGCTATGAGAGAGGTCCCCAAGAAGGGAAGTCAAGAGATTTACCAAGCACTACTTACCTTAACATGTACAAGATAATAATAATAAATACTATGACTAGCAAGGATGATAGTGCCACCATTACAGCTATGATGGGTGTCTCATCTAGAAAAAAGAGAGAAGATTTTGGCTTGTGTTAGAATAAAATAAATAAAATAAATAAATTGTGTTAGAAATGGCCACACTATAAATTTGAAAACATTTGCATTCTATGACTGTGTGACAGAACCCATTCTATAGTTCCCTGTAGCAGTTTTATATAAAACTAAACTCTTCCTATGAAGACAAGAGATCAAGCCTGTATTTCCCCCTAATTACGCTAATGCTCATTGGTATACTAAACTCTTGGAGAGATGGTAGTTTGTTTGTTTGTTTGTTTATTGTATTTATACCCCGCCTATCTAGTCATTTCGACCACTCTAGTTGTCTTGTCAATGGGGCATCTTTGACTTCATCATGACAACAACCTATTTGCAAGTCTAGACTTCAAACTCATAACCAAAACCTCACTAAAAAGCTTCAGACACAATACCTCCATGCCATTTGACTCTGAGATCCTTGGGAACACTGGTTGAGCTGAATGGATGAGTGCGCCTATGGAAGTTGTGAGCATTTATATGTCTAATTGTTAGGTCAAACTCCTGTCTGGGCCTATGAGAAATTCTAAAGATACGGGGATGCCTGAACAGCAAGCAGGACTGAAGCGAAGGCATAAACTACAATCCATGCAAGTTTGTGTACAGTTGTTAATTAGTCATTTGATTTCTTTTATACAAATTGACAAGAGTTTGGGGTTGCTTTCCCATCTCTGCATGAATCAGTAAAAATACATTTTTGGCATCCTAGATGTGCTTGGCTCGCATGAATCTGCAAGTTCAATAAGTCACATGTCTTCTGCTTAGCAAGATTCCTGATCTTGATAGGAGTGGCACTGGATAGAACAATACCCAAATAAAAAAAAAGAGGCGGGATCCACTGCTGCTTCTAAAATTTGTTCTGCTCGGGTATGCCTGCAAAGGTGATTTCTCCTACAAGAAGAACTAAAGCTTTCTTAGGAACATCAAAATCCTGAAAGTGGGTTACAAAAGGAGAATAACTGAAGTTACAAATTTACTAGCTAGCATCTCCGTTATTTCCTGTAGTAGATTCCCAGACAGTATTGTGAATTGTTAGATGTCACTTTTGAAGTAAAACAGTTCTAGACATCTGCAGGCTTTGCAACTATCTGGAGATGTATTTTTGGCCATGAAACGCACCATATTCAATAGCTTCCCCAGAGTGATGTTAAAAAAATAGTTAATTCATGCTAGAACCAAAAAGGTACCAGAAAGAGGTTGTAGAATGGATAGCACCACTTCAAGCTCCAGGTGTAAGACTGTATTTCTTAAGGATTCAAATGTTCTCTTATGATTTAAAAAAAAACATCCTTTCAAAACACAAGACTATACAATAGGAGAAATAGTTCTAGCCATGTTGGATTGCACTGGTTTTCTATTTGTCTGCATTTTTTTGCCTACACAGGGGAGATCGTTTTAAAATGTGGTAACTCAATCTGTGGTAGTACAACCTGTCCTATCTCCTCAGGAGCTATTACTTTACTCTGTTACACTTGTAGGTGAGGATTCAGTAACAAATAACCCAGCTATGTCTGTTTTATTTTGTATGACCTCCCACTATCTCGGTCTTTGCTCATTCGTAGTTTTGAAAACAGTGCCACTTGTCATTTATACAGCGTGTATTTCACATTTATAAAGGGTCCCATCTAATTCATGTTCATGTTTTTCGACAGCCTTCTTGGACAAGCTAGTATTGTCATCCTCAAACTGTAAGTTTGCTTGGAAAGGCAGAGAGACCGACAGAAAAGTAACTTGCCTAAGGACAAAAGCAGCTTGCCTGGGATGAGAGTGAGGGATACCATGATCAAACATAGACCAATACCTGCTGAATTACCTAATGCTAGGCTGTCGGACAGGTAAGTAACATTTTTTTCAGTGGAGAAGGAAGAAGGCTGGAGATTCGCCCTCAGAGAATTCTGTGTCCAATTATCTAGTCCATGTACTGTATCTTTGCTAAAGGACATTTTACCAGGTAGACCTTGGTCTCATCCAGCCATAAATATTTCTCCTGATCTTAAGCAAGAAGGCACCCTCTAGATCACATAATTCAGGTTTGTTATACTCTGGCAGGATAGCTCAGTGGCTTAGGCATCTGGCTGTGGAGCCAGAGGTTGGCAATTTGATTCCCCCACTATGCTTCCTGTGAGTACAGCCAGCCTCTGTGGCCTTGGGCAAGCTGCACAGTCCCTCTAGCCGCCTAGAGTGGTCACAAGACCAGATAGGCAGGATATAAATAGAATAAATAAATAAAATATAAAATAGAGTGCTCCCAGAAGAAGGGAACAGCAAACCTGCATGTTCTCTATCCAGAAAACCCTGAAAAGGGCCGCTGTTAGAATTGACTTGATGGCACATCATCATCAGTATTATTAAAATATGATAAGCATGCTTACAAATTATACACACAGAGAGAGGAAACCAAGTGTATTTGATGATGTGCGGTAGTGAGTAAACCATGCAAGACTTAAGTTGGTCTAAACTAAATTGAGTGAAGGAATGGCTAAAAGGAACTATGGCCACCGGCAGCTTTGCAAATCTTTGCACATTTAGAAGGGCTGCACTTACACATAAAGTGCCAGAGCCTTACAACAGAATGAAACAGGTACTGAGAACTTCAGCTCCAGGAAGTCATGATCTTATCAGCAGTGTGGCCTCCTTCTTCTTTGCACAGCTTCTTGCTGGTTCCTTCTGTGTTAAAAGCCCTATTCAGGCATCCAACCTGAAAGGTCAGGGACTGAAGTGTGGGGATGATGTGGAGACATAACTAAGACTTGACCTATCTATATGCCTTCAGCCCACCTGGAAGTCGTACGGACTTTTATGTGAGTGTGAAGGTCTGTATAAGGTGCCTTTCATAGATGTCAGCATGATCAGCAGCCTTGAGCGTGCTTACAGCACCTATGTAGAACCTTGGGGTGAACACAGGAAGCACTGCTAGAGTACTGAGAAAGGTGGGAACAGGCCTTATTTTCATGCCCTCATCCCCACTACTCTTTGAGCTCTACAAACTTTGAGATGGAAGACCTAAACAGACATGAACTACACAGAGACTCTTAGAGGTCATTCAAGACCAACTCAGATGTTGCCCAGCCTGTCTAATGTAATGGCCTCTATGATACTGCAAAGTTTAATGCTGGACAGAAGCTGTAAAACAAAAAAGGCACATTTATTTTCGATTGCACTAATTTTCTGACTTTCTATCAACTACCTGGATTTATTTTTCTCAGCAAATCTGGGAGGTAGGAGACACTGAGACAAATTCCCAGATCCCATGAGCTTCTTAATTTAACAAAGATTAAAAACCAAGCTTCAGAAGCCCATTCACATTATGTAAACTGATAAATTAGTAGGAATGCTAGGTGAGCTAAAGTCAAAAAGGGGGAAAGCTGGACAGGTTTAAGAAGGAAAAATGAATTAGTCCTCCATCTGGAGAAATCTCTCCTCATAGAGAATAAGTGAGATGTTTAGTTTCAGCTCTGATGAAACTGCTTGCTGCAGTTTGGCAGCGAGAACTGGCTGTGGCTTCATCTCGCCAAAGATTTCTTTTGTAGAGGATTTACATTCCAGGCAGGCCAATACTGCATGCTGAGATCTACAATGGAAGAGTGTCTGGTGCATACTTAAAGCAGTTGCAGCCACATTTTCCTACATGTTCTCTGAGAAAAGGAAAAGAAACAGGCCCCCAGCAATTTCCTTTAAAAACTAACAGCAGACAGTGGTGGTGCGCACACGGTATGTTGCCCGTCTTTTGAAAGATGCAACAGGTTTACAAATGAGCTGTAGGCTGGCTCTTTGAGCCCTGGAAGCTGCCAGGTTTGCACTTTGCCCTAGCAACCTCTCTACTGGAAAGAGTGAAGGCAGAGGGAGGCATGACAGATAGCAGGCAGAAAGCAGCAACACAACATGAAGAAAGCAGTTGACAGCTCATTGTTCTGTTTCCTGCTTGTGGTTAACGGCTGCAGCGGGGGGAAAAATCTTCAACTCTGAGTCAGATATATCAAAAAGGACCCAAAGCCCAACATCTCCATGCCAGATGTATCCTTTGGATGGGCTGCAGTTAAAAGAGTCCTTCCCTGATCGTAGCTCATTCAGTAACTGGCTACTACCATACGCGGCTGCTGTAGCATCAGTAAAGGAAATGGCTTGCCTCAAACTTTAACTTTCTCATCCTCATGTCAGCGATAGAAGCTTTATTCGGCTTTCCACATGAACATGTGTAAGGCTCAAAGGGTGGCTGGGAGACCCGGCATACAGGTCAAGCCCCCACCTGCCACATCTTTTCCCCTTGGGAAGTCATACGGATCATGAAGGTCTGCAAAGGCAATTCTTCAGCTGGATTGGCTTACAATGTGCCTGTAATCTTCAGCTCTGATATACAGTACCTTGATACACTTTTACAAAGTGTGGACAATAAATTGAAGGTGTTTAGGAAAGCGTGTTAAGTCCACAAAACTTGACAATAATAACTGTCCGCGGTCAAGTCAATTCTGACAATGGGTGATCCTTTCCATGCTTTTCCAGGTAGAGAGTACTCAGAAGTAGTTTACCATTCTTTTCTTCTGTGGGCACATTGGGACTGCGCAGCTTGGCTACACAGGCTGGCTCTTCTCCTAGGAGGTACAATATGTGTGTGGGTGTTAAAACTCCCAACCTCTGGCTCTGTAGCCAGAGACCAAAACCACTGCACTGTCCAGCCAGCTAATCAAAACTTACTCACCCATTTTTTTTTAAAAAAATGGCTACCCTGCTAATTGTGGCCGAGAGAGAGAGAGAAAGAAAGACAAAGAAAGAGAGAGAGAGAGAGAATAACTTTTGTAAAAGCTTTCTGGCCTGGAAGTGCATTGGAGAAGATTCTTACTTGTCAGAAGCTACAAAGCGCAAAGCTCTCTATAACTAAACGTGAGCCTCCACCCCATCATTCTGGCCAAACTCTGCACCATGCACAAAATGCAGTACGAATGGAAATGAAATTAGGATAAATCAATCTGCAACAAATCACTTTTTGTATCTACTTAGAAGCGTTAAAAATTGTTTTTAACTGAGCTAACAAAACGGGAGGCGAAAGACGTTCTCCAAACACCCTCTGCCCCACCCTGAAACAGATACGAGAACCATCCTAGAGCTGGCTGACACAAGCTTGCCGCTTCCTCTGTAACGTTACCCAGCCACAGACCACATTGCTGGGGTGGAGTGTGGGAACAGGAGAATATATTGCCAGGTGTGTTCTGTTTGGACACCGAGCCTGAAAAGGCTGCATTGACACTCCTAGTCAGGACAGATGGGGCCAAAAGCAACAGCAACTCATCACTGTCAAGTAGTCCCGTTTAAAAACAGACTGCTTGTGATGTATCCTGCGTCTTTTTTTCCTACTGCTTGCAGGCACGCACACATACACACACACAGCACTGGTGTGAGTTACTAACTTCCTGCCCATAAGGAGCCTGGCTAAAAGCATGAAGGGATCACACACACATAACAGATACTGTTCACAGACATAGCAAACACCACCATCCAGACAACATGAATAGCAAAGTACACGTTTGTGTAGTTGCCCAAAATCCCACGGTAACAACAGCTGGTGCATTGTTTCAGATACACCCTGAAATATAAAACTGGAAACAGCATACACAGAACTGGCAATGAGAAGGAAGCCTGTTTTGCTTCTCTTTAAATTCTGATGGAGCAAAACAGTCACTGGAGAATTCTTTTCGCCTATCCACCTCATGTGGTCCACAGGAAAAGAGATGGGGCGGGGCAGAGAGAAGGCTAGCATCCACGCACAAACATACTTTGCAGCTACTCATGTATATGGAGATCTCAGGAGTCCCATAGGGAGGAGGCAACCACTTTCTACTTTCTAGGGTACAGCACAATGCAAAGCCCATCCTGCAGCATGGCCTTAATGGTACCCACTGTTATATTTCATTTGTTCTGGAGTCCCTATAACCCCAATATAAGAACCAAGAATGGCTGCTTACCACCATTATCACAGCATTGTCACAAATGCTGTGATAATGGCGGCGCCAGGTCAAAACCTTCCTGTTGAAGAAGGCTTTTAATTGAAATAATCTTACTTGTGGGTCTGATGGCAATTTTTATATATATTTTAATTGCATTTTAATTGTTCTGAATTTTTATTGTATTTTAAATGTTGTAAGCCGCCCAGAGACCTTTGAGTAGTGTGGGCGGCATATAAATTAAACAAACAAACAAACAAACAAACAAACAAACAAGTAAATAAATAAATAGTGCCATTGGACGATCGTTATTATCTAAATCAAGAACCAATGAAACAATTTATACAAAAATAACAGGCTCGTTTTACATACGTCTCACAATAAGTGAACTTTTCATTCCTTAACATTAGTTCAGATTCCTGGTCCTGGAACTCTCAGCCTCCCCTATGTCTAAGGGCTGTTTGAGGAGACTGAATCCTGCTTTTCCTCCAACTAGGAGGTTAGCATTGTTAGGTTAACCAACAATGCAACAAGTTTTGATTAAAAAGACAGTGAAGCACGAATATGTGGGATAGCCTCTGGAGTGCTGCTCTGAAATTGCTAAGGGGGCAACAAGATGCTAATATGAAATAAACAAGCTCTGGAACAGAGCACACAATTTACAAGAAGTGTCATTTCAATGCTGCATGAGATACAACATTCAAAATCAAGGACAAAAGGCAAACAGGTTATCAGGGAACAAAAGAACAAGGCAGGCACCATACTGGATGAGACCAAAACCCTATCTAGTCCAGTGTACTGTTCTCACAGAAGCCAACCTCTTGCACATGGTATGCTGCTCTGAACTGCTGGACAGCTCAGAAGTTTAGGTCTACGGTTGTGAAGCCAGAGGTTGGGAGTTTGTTTCCCCCACTGGGCCTCCTGGACAGGGGCTGGACTTGATGATCCATAGAGTCCCTTTCCAGCTCTGCAGTTCTAAGGTTGCTGTTGTTGTAAACTGCAAGGGGAACATGAGTGAAAAAGTGCCCTCCTGCTTGTATAGGCCAGCAAATGGAATTGACAGCAATACTGTCTCTAATCCTGGAAGGAGCAGATAACCGTTGTGACTGGAAGCCACTGAGATCTTTATCCTCCATGAATCTGTCTAATCACCTATCCAAATTGGTGGCCATCTTTATACACACAGAACAGAGATGTAAGAGAAATGGCTTACCTGGTCTGGTGTCATCTGCATAAATGGAAAAAAACACTATAAGAACAAAGAAGCTCTGCTGGATCAGATCTTAAAGTCTATCTAATTCAGCATCCTATTTCCCACAGTGGCCATGAAGCAGATGCTTATGGGGATGACCACATGCAGGAGGGCAGTTGTAGTTCCAAAGCACCTGATATTCAGAGGTGCTTCTGATTCCCATTCTGGAGAAAGGACAAAATCTCCATAACTATCAGCCTTACTCTCCATGCATTTGCCTAATCTCCTTTCAAAGCCAATCCAAAGGCAAGGGTCTGCGATACCTTTATTAGACAACTAAAAATTTGTACAAAGAAGCAAGTGGTTGATCTGTACAGATCTTGATCCGGCTGGACACGGGAAGTCTGTATAAATGGTGTACAAAGAATATAAAAGTTCTTTGCACACCACAGGTTTGGCCAGAGTTCTTTGCTTTAAGCATGCTTCAAACGGAGGTCTACAATCACAACAGGTATAGGTCTCAAATTCCACCTCTGGTGGTGTGAATTGGAGTGATTCTCCCAATTCTTCCAAACAAAGGGGCTTGCAGTCACTCAGCTTTCCTCGCTTCTTCACTGCTCTACACTGAACGCACGGTTCCTAGTAGGGTACCACCTGACCTTAAAAGGCGCCTTGCTGTTGTACTTAACCACATAAAATATGGTGTCACTGCCAGAAAGAAAGGGAGAACAGTGGGAGCTGCAGTGCCCAGTAGAACAATGCTTTTTAAAATGCACTCAGACACAAGAAGTGATGTCTTACATCGCAAGGAACTGTAATCCCATTTATACCCCAATTTGTACCCTTAGCTGAGGCAGAGTATGAACTGCAGATGGAGTACGATAGTGCTTCGTGTTAGTTTAGTAAGCTAAATGATTCCAAGGTCTATCCATCTCAAATATGAACACATCACAAATCATTAGTTCCTGAACCACGGCCCTCTCCCCAGAATACACCAAGAGCAAAAATACAAATAGCATCATCCCCTCCTTCAGTTTACAGTTCCTTACTCAGAAGGTCCACTTCCCCCCCTCCAGAGTACTACAATGAGAAGTGTGTCTGGGTGCAGATAAATTGTCTGTCTGTCTGTCCAAATGTGCACAAAGGCTTGTTTAAAAAAATTCTACAAGAACCTTAAGGAATCTCATGTGCTTCTACTTCTCCCTCTTCCTTTCACTTCCTTGCCCCAACCAAGCTTTGGAGAAAGTGATTATTTCTGAGTCTTCTCTATTTAAATATAATTTTTGAGAGATTCAGCTGTTTCCTTTGGGTCTGGGAACAGTCACAGAGTGAACCTCTATCTCAAAGGGAGGTGAAGGGAATGGAGAGGGAAAAATTGCAAAGAAATATTCTTACCTGGGTTTTTTGTTATCTCAGCTAAAAACAGAATGCACACAGAGAGAATATTAGTTAATAATAATCAGAATGCAACATCTTCCATCACACTTACAGTCCTTGCTAAGCACCACAAGTAAATTTTGTTTCATTTTAAAGCTGTTGAAATCACAGTCCATCCCTAAAGAAACTTCTGGCACCAAATCCATTTCAGTATGTCTGCAGGCAATTAAAGTGCAAACCATGGAATTGGACTCAGTGGCTGACATCTTCATGTATGCATTGGTGATGATGTCATCAACAAAGCAAAAGGACACAAATTAAAGGCTTCCTTGGGCAACTCTAAGGTGCACACAACTTCACTGCACTGGTTACGAGTTATATGTGCTCAGAAATCACCTTCAATTAGTAGTGATTTGCTTTTAACCAGCAGCGATTTGCAGGGATGGGGACTTGAGTTGCGAAACCTGCTGTCAAGTTGGACTTAACATGCACTGGTGACTCAACTTGGGTCCCCCCTCAATGACTCAGACTTGACTTGGGACTCACCACTCTTCAACCTTGCAGCGAGGCCTGTCCTCCCGCCTCCTGCCAGGGGTGGCGAGTGGATCACACACTGTGGAGCCACTGGTAGGATTGCGCTGTCCGTGTCAGATAGGTAAGCGTACCATCTGGCCCCATGGGGCTGGATCCTCGCTAATGCCACCTGTGTGGGGGTATTTGTATAATAGCCCCATCTCTACTTGGAACCCATCCACCATCCCTTTTTTTTTATGGGGGGGGGAGCTTGTTTTTAATAGGCCCTTGGATTTGGCACCAAAGACCTGCCAAAGACCTTGTGATTTGCTGCTGGTGATGACATCATCCCTACTGCACACTCGGAGCTGAACAGCAGATTTCAGCCACTGCATCACAAAGCTGGTCCGATCATTTTCTGAAGTGTACCAAGCTCATTGATATCCGGCTATCATATTTTAGAATGCAACAAACAGTGAACCATGAATACATAAGGTGTGTTAACATTGGGCAAAGTACAGTGGTGCCCCGCTTGATGACGATAATGCGTTCCAGCAAAATCGCTGTACAGCGAAATAGTCGTCAAGCGAAAGTAAAAAAACCATTAGAATGCATTAAAAACTGGTTAATGTGTTCTAATGGGGGAAATACCTCATCGTCCAGCGAAGATCCTCCATAGGGCAGCCATTTCCCGGCGCCTGTAAAGTGAGCAATCAGTCCTAAACACAGCAGGGAACCATTTTGCACAGGGGGAGGCCATTTTGCGACCCGCCGATGTTTCAAAACCATCGTTAAGCAAAAAAATCGTCGTAAAGCGGAAAACGCCATAGGAATCATCGTTTTGCGATCGTAATAAACTCATCGTAGAGCGGATTCGTCATCAAGCGGGGTAATAATCAAGCAGGGCACCACTGTATCAGGATGGAAACATTTAGCAAAAAGACAGCTGAAACAACCTAACCAAGCTTGACGCTACTCCCAGAAGATTTTAAACATGGGGCGGGGAGAGGGAGGGAAGCAACCAATCATAACACATGAATGGAACAAGTGGAAATGCAGCGAACTATTCCATACTTGAGGTGTCAAAGGCGTTGGAAGTGAGTACAGCAGTTGTGGCATTGGGTTCCACAGGCACCAGGTCTGGGTCTAAAGCAGTCACATTTGAAACTGAAGATGTCTCATTTGGTGGAAAGAAGATGGTCCCAGAAGTGAGCGTTGTTGCCTTTGAAGTTGTAGCCTCTGTGGCTCGTGACCTGAAGGTTGTAGCAGGAGGGAGTTCAGTGGCTTTAGGAGTAGTATGGTTCTGTACCACAGTTGGAGATACTGTTGGAGAAGTAGCATTACGAAGGACTGGAGTCGTGGGCTTCCCATTACTTGGTCGTGTCCTGTTAATTTTCACAGAACTTGTGGGCCAAGGAGAATCCATCCAGGATAGCACTAAGAAAAGAACAAACATATTATCAGTAAATCTAGCAAATTTGAGTGGAACGGAATATGTAGTCTTTCAGGGCATGATCCTCACCAAGGATTTCAAAAATTTAATTTGGAGCAAGGCTTTTAGGAATCAGCCTCCTAACATCTGTTCTGCAGTTTGACAATCCCACCCCTCAGCAATGAAATATCTCCCACACTTAAGTCTCTCCAAGGAAAATCCCTCTTCCTCCCACAATCAGAACCAGTCCTCTTCATATTTTACACAGTTGTGCCAGAATATAGAATAGAACTGGTGTCCCCTTGCTTTTGTGAGGCTCCTCTGCTCAATGCCACTTAAGTCCTTGCAGTCTCGCTTCCTTAAAATATTGAAGCAAATGGCTGTTTTATAAATCATGTAGGCAGCCTTTAATCTCTCTAGCTAAGTTCTGCAGTGCCTCAATAACTTTGCTCACTTGCCCTCACTTTTCTTCTGATCAGCCATCTGCTGGGGGGCAGAAAACAGATAAAAATACCTTGTTACTAGCTAGGGAGAAATAATAATCATAAATAGGACCAGGATTGTTTGGATAGAGGCTAGGTTAAAGCCCTCTAACTCTGCTCCTATCCCATCCACTACTGATCATAACATGTACAAGATTCCCAAAATGTTCTGGAGGAGTGAGCAAAATCCCAAAAACAGTACCCAAACAGTACTTCAAAAGATGCATTTGTGTTACTGCCAGGCTACAATGACACTTCCCCCCCCCTGCTGGACAAGGTTTTACTGTAGACCTTTCTTTTAATGTGTCACCCGGATATTCTTTCACAAAATAAAAGTTCACTAATGCCAATGAATTACAGTAGTTCAGTGTTGGTTCAATTTAAATAATGGGCCTCAGTTAAAACTAGCCTTCCCCAAAGAAAACTGAGTACGTACATGCAAACTCACACTCATTAGCCAATCCTGTTATACTTGGCTTCAGGAGTTAACCTCGAGAAAAGGCTTCAGGAGTTAACCTTGAGGCAAAATCCGGAGCTGGAGTCCCGAAGGCAGCTCGTGTCGTTCTGCCAACTCCTGCGACGTTGCTGGAACCAGTCGTATTGGCTCTTGCCTTTCCATTGGACCATTTCAGCAATGTGGAGAGGGGGGATCTGCTGCTTGGGTAACAGCCTATCCTCCATATTACCTTACCCGGGCTTCATGCTCTGGAGAGGACACTCCTCGATTCAGAGCATGTTACCATAGTCTCTCGAGACTGAAGGATGCCTATGATTTATACTAACAGAAGGCATGCTTTTAAGAATCGCTGGAACAAAAGGACACCAACCTGTACCAGACATTAAAAAATCTTATGCCCCTTTCAAGGTGCAGCTCAGGTACCTACTTCCAAATGTAAATATGATGACAGCAAAGACAACAATCAAGTGGCTTCATGCAGGTTATAAAACAACCAACCTCCTCTCCTTATGATGAAAAGACCGGGGGGGCAGCCTACCAGCTTCTGTTTCTCTCCAGCACAAAGAACATCTGCCCCGGTGTAGCCTGACTTAACCATGGTGTGACAAGAGGTCTTAAACAATATCAAATCCGATTTGCAAACTTACTGTTATGATGGTAACCCTGGTGTCAATTATGGGATGAATGATACAGCAGAAGGAAACATAAGAGTTGGCAATGCTCTCCTTGCCCCCTATCCAGGGATAAGGGGTTAGGAAAGGTACGTTTCCAATGGGCCTCTGCTGCTATAGGAAGCATTCCTGGAAAAATCATGCCCCTTCTTCCACTATATTCCAAGGGCAAAGTGAAATGACATACCTGCCTTACTTGTGGTCATACTGGTGGCTGTGAGGCATGTCAGGCAGCTGCTGAGCAGGATGACAAGGAGGCATGAACCCATGTTCGTCTGGGGATGGGAAAGAGAAACAAAAGAGAAAGGGGTCATTAACAACACAAGTGTGGTCTCAAGGGACCTGCCTCAGAAGGGATTTCTATAGAAAGCTATTTCCATTTTATTCTGGGGAATTCTGGGGAATGTACACAGATGTATTCTATACTACTCAATGCAAAACACACATCCAAACTCAAGAGTGAGCATGTACACAGATATATTCTATACTACTCAATGCAAAACACACAATTTAACAAAACTTGTACACATCATCCTTAAATGCAATCTCAGAGAGTCTGCCTTCTTGGGAGAGCTGGAAGAGGAACAACACCTCTGCTGAGATGCATCAAACTGAAAATAGGAGGAAGGAGGCTTCTACTGGTTGAATGTTGTGGCAGCTTTGTAGGAAAGAGAAATTCATCTTAGTAAGTCAAGTAACTGTAGTAGCACTCCCAATATTTGTACAACAGAGCACAAGCACACGTTGTGACCTAGGAAATCTCCAGTTCAATTCTCTCCTCATCCATCAACTGACTACATGGCTTTAGGCAGTTCAGTATCTCTTTTCCTCAATTCTGTCACTCAGAATTGTTGCAAGGTGGTAATTATTGGGCCAAACAATGAAGTCTTCAGGCATTATAGGATATTAAAGGGAAAGGGAACACCTATAGCCAGCCGTCCAGCATGCATAGGCCTTGGGCTAATGTCAGCACTCTGATACGTACCTTTTGTCTCTCTCCCTGCCAGCCTACCATTAAGTGGCTATTTTATGCTTTCCCCACCCACACCTCAGGCATTAAATCATATCACTCAGCAACTAGCATGGATCTGCATGAGATACAACTCTGGTTTACTGAATCCCCTGTGTGCCTCTGGACTAACAAGAGAAATTTGTGAGTTGGGTCCTAACTTGGAAGAGATGTTATATGCTAAGGAACACTGCAAGGCTACGATAATGTTCACTACACTATAGTGCAGCCGAATTGCTTTGCACTCTATCTCCCACAGACTTCAGCCAACACTCAAGGGGGCTGGAAGTTAGGTGGGCCATATACAGATAAACTCTCTTCTTTCATTTACAGTAGTGCCCCGCTTAACGATTACCCCGTTTAACGATGAAATTGCTTCACAATGTGTTTTTGCAATCGCAAAACGATGATTGAATGGGGTTTTTTCATTTCACAATGATCGGTCCCCTGCTTCGGGAACTGATTTTACGCTTTACGATGATCAGAAAACAGCTGATTGTCTGGTTTCAAAATGGTCACCTGATGTTCAAAATGGCTCCCCGCTGTGCTTAGGACGGATTCCTCGCATTACAGGCACCAAAAATGGCCGCCCTATGGAGGATCTTTGCTGGACGCTGAGGTATTTCGCCCATTGGAACACACTGAGCGGTTTTCAATGCGTTTCAATGGGCTTTTTACTTTTGCTTGATGACAATTTCGTTCTACAGCGATTTCGCTGGAACGGATTAATGTCATCAAGTGAGGCACCACTGTATTTACGTTTACAGCTAAGAACACATACAACAGCTGGAACTAAGTTAATTCTCACAGGCTGAAAGAATCAATTTTCTTGTTTAAGAGACAAATCATGCCTAAGTTTGAGAGCTACTTTATAACTACACATTATTCACTCAAGCTCCCAAATATTCCCTGAAGCAATCAAACAACTTTTCCTAAGAGAGCCAGGAAAGAGGAAAGAGGGAACTTCTCAATGGGATTTATACAAAGCACTGAGCTACAACTCAGCAACTGATCCAATGGATCTCTTCCTAGTTGAGACTAGCAACAGGATACTAACCATCACTGGGAAGCAGGGTAGGATGGTTGTTTAATGGCAACACTGGGGGCCCCATCTTCAGTATCATGGCTAAAGTGCACATGGAAGGGCATTTAACCCTTCCTTTCCAAGATGGACTGCTTAATAATATTTCCTAGCCCACGGAAAACAATTCTCATAGGTGCCTTTCAAAGCTTTTCTCCTAAGACTAACAGCAACAGAGTGAGTAGAGATTTTCATCACTACTGAAAGGGTTTAATCTCCCTCTTTACACACTGCAGTTTTAATCAGATTACACAGACTTGCTCGAAACAACCCTCCCATCATGCTCTTCAGTTACAGTATGTGTTTAATATTGCTTCTTCTTCTTGCCTAGAAGTCACCACATCCAGACTCACTAAGGTCAATTTGTGTGTAGTAAGTCCCCAACCAGTAGTGCTTATGTTTAGAGAGATCCAGGATGATTTCTGAGTCACTCTTATGCCTGTATATTTGTGTAAAAATGAACAGCTCCGAAACTTCATAAGGAATTCAAAGGTTCATAAAAAATTAAGTGTACGACATCACGACAGGTATGGATGCATGCAGAAGTTTGGGAATGATTGTTTGCAAATGGTAACCCAAACCAGTTCCAGGTGTTATTTTAAAGAAGATTAAATCAAGCAAACATACAGCCGAGGTTTCAAAAAATAAAAAGTAGAAAAATAAAGGCTCCTCCATTGGGTTTAAAACTCACCAAGGTTAACCAAGACAGACTCAAGTTAACTGTCTTGTTGGGAACCACTGTTCTAGATCTATTCAATGGAACAGTCATCATAGCTGTTTATTTAAACTATTACAATTTTCAATATAGGCAGCAAGTTCATAGATTATTATAAGAGTGCCAGCTGGGGGCTCTATGTCCACAATGCAAACTTAAAGAAGGCTTCTAAACATTTTAGTCCACTTTTAGTTTGGACACCCAAGGTTGGGAAACACTGGTTTAGAGCTATAAGGTTTTATCCAACAAGATATTGTTGAGCATCTCTGCTTTTGAAATGCAACCATTTGCTTTGCATATCTGAAACTATGCCCGTGTGGAATTATCTTCTTAAAAGCCCATAACACAAAAAGTCAATTATAGCTAAACATGTGAAAACTTTTGGATTCAACTTTTCTATTCATTTTTTAAATCTTGTAAATGCTACTGTGCTCAGCCGTGATATAGCACGTGGTCCTTTCAGCCTTTCACTTCTCCTGCTCTCTGTGCTTTGAATCAAATATATGGTACCATCTTCTTTCTCCTTCAACTTCATCCTCAAATTCCACTTTTGTGTGAAGCCTATTTTTGCTTAGTCTGCAGTCAAAGCCAAAGTATGTGCAGGTTAACTCAATAGTTTAGGCATCTGGCTGCAGCCAGAGGTTGGGCGTTTGATTTCCCACTGTGCCTCCTTGACAGGGGCTGGCCTCAGTAATCCTAAGGGTCCTTTCCAGCTCTGCAGTTCTAAGATTATTGTATTAACCTCCCTGTATAGGTTCATAATCTTACAACACCTTCCTTCCCCACTGCTGAACGTCAAACTGTAAGCGCCATAGGGCATGAGCCATTTACTTTGCTCATGTTGCTTTATAAGCTGATGGGCACTGACAGAATACTATTTTTATTAACAGCATTTTGAATTCAATTCGCTACATGTCTTTGTTAGACTAAATTGTTCCTTATTCATCTGTGTGAATCAGAATTTCCCCACAGCACCAATGACCTTGGTGGGGTGTTGAATGGGTGTTAAGAAGGTGCAAATCTAAGCTGAATGATCTCTTTAGCAGACCTGACACAAAAACACTGTGGAATTTATATAAAAACAACAAATTAGCCCTATGCAGGGCTGAAAACAAATCTTTATAAGATTTTTCCAGTCTTCCATGCAAGTCTCTTGCATGGAAGGCCAAAAAAGCATCTGGGCAACCTTCAAAAGTAAAAAGATTAACAAAAAACCCCTGATATTTTAACTCTGATTAATTCTATGAAAAGTCTTGGAGAATGATTATTTCCAAAAAATGAAGGTGAGGGGAGATGGAGAAGAGTGATCTCCCCCTCTTTCTTAGATCCCATTTAGCAGAAATCATGTGAAATACAGTAAAGTGACTCAAGACTTGCTTTGTCTTTCCAGCTACTTGGCCAATACAGCTGTGACGTACTTTAAAAATGCATCAGTTAACACAGCTGTCTGCTCCCAGTTCCCTCAACAGTAACATTTTAAGAATTCAATGGCTATTTGGTAGAAATTACAAAATATACAAAGTAGGATGAAATAGATGCACTGAAGTAGAGGAAAGAGTTACAATTCAGAAGGGGAAAAACAGCTCACACATACTTTTCATTTTTTACAGTTGAAGTTTTAATAGCAATGAAGAAAACCTGTGTGATAATATACTGAGGCCCTTTGGGGGGGACTTCCTAAGAGGCTTCTTTCATGATGATAAACATCAAGTTGCAGCTAAGTGGGATATCTGATACTCTGCACTGAGAAAGCTGTGCCCTGCAGACCACAGATAACACTGAAGCAAAGATGGTCAACACTCTCTCAACACTGGTAAAGCAACCTTAAGCACAAGATGGCAAAGCCTGTTTGGTATAATAAAAATGTTCATAGATCATCATCTAAAAATATAATAAGGCAGAATCACTAACTGCTGTCTTAACATGTAATACTGAGCGCATGGTCACATTCTGGACTGCCCTACACTGCGTACACTCATATCTTACCGATTCAGAAAGAGGGGAAATGTTTGTAATGTTATCAACATACACACAACAGTTGGCTAGCCTCAGCATCCTGCCTGCTTTGCAGAAAAATACTGTGACATCATGTTTCTAGATTTATGGAGGGAGGAGTAAGTGGGAGGGTGGGTGGGAGGGGAGAGGCAGGCACACAGGCAGGCAGGCAGAGAAAGAATTTTTTTTTCAAAGAATGCAATGATATATATTGTACAAGGAAAACTGGTGTGGTTTTATTTATTTAAAGTTCGCAGGCTGTCTGGCAGTTATGTTTTGATTTGAGCACCTGTTTCCAGATGCTGTTTTTCAAGCATACATCCATGCACTCTGTTGATGATCAGAAGTACAGTGTTTGAATACATATTCAAATTGATTCTGAAAGATTTTTAAAAATTTACACAGTAAAATAAAAGTAAACTATTTGGCTAAGCTGGTTGCAGAATGTAACCCATCCAACCCCTAAATCTGGTAAGCCTCAGATGGATGAGGAGTA